TCATTCTGCTTCATTCTATCTCTATTCTCCCACTCTGCAGAATCTGTTAGTTCAATCTCTAACGTTCTGCTCTCTCTGCAGGGGCTGACGTTAAGGATTTTTGGGCAAGTGACTTTCACATTTCATTTGCCCAGAAACAATTTTTACTTGCCCAGTATAATGTTTGATAAATATAGTTTCTAATATTCATTTTTGAATATATATCAATGAAACATGTTTTTTGTAATTCAGTATTTTTTAAGTTTCCAGGTTCCTGGTGTGTATCTGCATGCGTCAGATAATGAACTCCAGCCTACATTACCGTGTTAACATGCTTTTCAATCCTTCCTCCACATTCTTTTCAAACTAAACTTTGCTTTAAACTGTTGTGTGCTTGGAAAAATATAAATTGTAATGTTAAAAATCTAAAAACTTGACAGGTTAAAAACTTCCACTACTACTACTCACCAATCTAACATGTTTAGCTCTATAACATTTAAATGCACCACTCCAATGTCTAAGAGAAAAACATTTTTTAATGTATATCCACTGTACAGAAGGCTGCCATATGATAGAGATATTTACACTGTGCGCATACAATTATTATTATTATTTTCCTAATCCCTGACTGATCATTTTTAATCTAGCGTGTATTATAGTATAGATTAAATTCATCATCCAGCTGCTGCTCTGCAGAATTCTCTCCCCAAGAGCTGAATCACGCCATCTAGCGGAAAATCACGCAGCTTTTTCAAATCACGCGAGAATGTGTACAAAACAACAAAGATGGCACCGGCAACGCTTGTGGGTCGTTTTCATCGAATGTCGGTGATTTTAAAGTAATTTTGAGTGATAAATAAAATTTTTTTGCGATCATTGCACTTGCCCGGCGGGCAAATGCGATGAAATTTGTTCTCTCCCGACAATAAAAACTACTCACCCCGGGCGATCGGGCGATGGTTAACATTGAACCCTGCTCTGCTTTTTCTCAGAGTAGCTTCATCTGGTCTGTTCCTGTTTGGCTGTGACTCCATCCTGGAGAGAAATATCA